AGATAGCATTTTAGAAATAATGTTGATAACTTAGCCCAGAATGGCTAGATGATTCCCAGGCTAGATCTTCTTTTAAAAATTTTTATTGAATTTATTGGGGTGACATTAGTTAATAAAATTATACAAATTTCACATGTACAATTCCATAATACATCATGTGTATATGATAGTGTGTGTTCACCACTCTAAGTCAAGTCTCCTTTCATCATCATTTTTTTATAAGTATTCTCTGAGTCAGGAGTATCACAGGGAAAGAAAATTAAGGGCATGGTATAGGCAAGTTCTTTAAATAGGGCCAACTGTTAGACATTGTTGGAATGAGGACAGAAGCAAGGTGAGGAGGCTTCTGGTAAAATAATGCTTATCTTCAGACTCACCTGGTTTCTAGGCAAGACCCTGCAAGAGAAGGGGCACACTTGTTTGATTTAGTGTTTGCAGCCCAGCTTGGTGTTTACCATTCAGTGTGGGCAAACAAGGCTGGTGGATAAATGATGGGATCATAGGTGACATGGACAACCAGGTCAATGCAAAAGCCTGGGATACGGAGCCAGGCGGGCCTGGGTTTGAATTCTAGCTCCGCTGCCTCCCTTCCTGGGAGACCTGACACGTTACTTTACCTACTGAGACTCTGTCTTCTTGGTTGAAAAGTGGGGACACTTCCTGTTGAGATTTCAAGGAGCCAATACAAACCTGTCTTTCACTTCAGAGTTCTGAACGAGACTGTGAGAACGATGGCAATTTGAATTATTAGCTTAACATGGAGGGACCTGGAGAGTATTATGCTAAGTGAAATAAGCCAACCAGAGAAAGACAAGTATTACATTATCTCATTCATATGTGGAATCTAATGAACAAAATAAACTGATGAACAAAAGATTCAGAGACATAGAAGCATTGAACAGACTATGGAACCTCAGAGGGAAGGCGGGGGAGGGTGGAAGGGTGGGAAGAGATCAAAGAACTTGTATGCATATATCTGTAACCCATGGACACAGACAATAAGGAGGTAAAAACCTGGGGTGGGCAGTTGGGGCAGGCTAGAAGGGGTCAATGGGGGGAAAAAGGGGGTCATATGTAAGACTTTCAACAGTAAAGATTTAATTTAAAAAAAAAAAGAATTATTAGCTTAATTACTGTAAAGGCAGCTGGAGTTATGGCTTAAACCTGAGGACAAATGGTTTTACTAATCGCTCTGTCCTAAGTCAGTGGAAATGTCAGGAGTGGGAATACAGCCTCCCTCAAATTTTTAGGAAACACATCTGGGGAGAGAATGAGTCCCGAGCATTAATGACAGCCCACACCTTTCCTGGGCTACATTTGGTGCCTGTAGTTTAATCTGCTGGATGAGATTAGGCTGTGGCTGGTTTCCTTCCTTAAGCACCAGGGAGAAGACGTCCAGAGAGCAATGGCGACTTTTAAAAGAGGCTGTCACATATCATATGCGAGTCAGGAAGAGAGTTATTTTAACTACTTGGAAAAGTTTATAAGATTCCTGAAACCTGTGTGCTTCCACCCCTCTTTGCTATTTTTATTGCCATCTGTCTACTCTCCTATAATGATTAGCCAAAAGCTCTTAAAATGGAAAGGATCTGTGTGCATATTTTGGGTGGCAACAAAGAAAACAGCAGTGAGGTGACTGTTCCTGCCAAGTGGGTGAGGATCCCAGAAGTGCACAGTGGGCTTTAGCATCCTGCAGGCCGTGTCTCGGGCGTCTGTGGAAAGAGGGGGAAAAAATTATGGAGTGGACCTGGGGGTAGGGAGCTTACAGGGAATGAATCCAGGACAGAGAAATTACCCTGCGTCCTTACTTAGCAAGAGACCCATGGACAGGTTTCCTGAATGTAGCCAGATTAAAATTAATACTTCTAACAGCCAAGACATTTTTTGAATGTTTTCTAATTTAAAACAAATCCAATAGCTCTTTTTAGCAACTTATCTGCAGATAATTTAATTTGGGTAAGATTCTTGGATCAAGTGAACCGAATAAGGTGGAAATTAATTCTTAAGTCTCAGCTGTCAGAAAGTGGCCAGGATTTGGGAGTTGTTTGACAATACTCCATATACATTAGTTTTTCCTAGATCTTTTGACTGCTGGTATTTCATCTTAAGAGTGGCAATTAAGAATGGGAAAACATTGCCCCCTCCAGGCCCCTCGACCGTGGCTTAGAATCCGCTGAAACTTGTGGGGTAAACATTTTACCCAAATATAAACCTTTTAGAGATTAAGCTAATTTACTCTTTTCAAACTGTGACATCCTGTTTATAAGAAGGAAGATTTATAAAAAGTCATCTTGAGCTTGATCTGACTCCTCATATCAACATTTTGGTGAATTTAAGTGTTAAATGAGTCACAACTATTTGGATGAAGATTTTCTGGTTTTGAAAGAGAAAGTACTCGGAAAAAATGTCATTTTGGTTTTATTGAAATGGAAACATTTGAAAAATAGAATTCGCTAGTGAGCCTATCATGTGACAAGTTTCCACACACATTTAAGTCACTTTTGTGAATCCGTAGAGCTGCATCCCCCAGGGCCAAGTCTTAACCATCGTGAGATGCATTTAGCCTCCATAATCCTTTCCAGAAAAGATGTTTTTTAAAAAACACTGCACAAGGAAAAAAATTTTCACAACATTTTGAAGGTAACATTATTTACTTTGAGATGTATTCTTAAATGAAATTAACATTATTTGCCTGATAGAAAAATGGTCTCCTTTTACTCTGACCCTTTAATACTTGAAAATGTCATTGCAGGCAATTCAAAGTTTAATTTAGATAAAGGAATGTTACAGTCAAAATTTTATACTTGATTTAAAAAAAATCCTTACTCAAGGATATGTTTCCATTGACTTTTAGAGAGAGAATAAGGGAGAGGGAGAGAGAGAGAAACATCGATGTGAGAGAAACATTGATTGGTTGCCTCCTGCAAGCGCCCCAACCAGGGATCGAACTACAACCTGGGTATGTGCCCTGACCAGGAATCGAACCCAAGACCCTTTGGTGCATGGGGTAATGCTCCAACCAATGGAGCCACACCAGCCAGGGCATTATATTAGTTTTTTTAATGAATAGTGCAGTGGTGGCGAACCTTTTGAGCTCGGCGTGTCAGCATTTTGAAAAACCCTAACTTAACTCTGGTGCCGTGTCACATATAGAAATTTTTTTGATATTTGCAACCATAGTAAAACAAAGACTTACATTTTTGATATTTATTTTATATATTTAAATGCCATTTAACAAAGAAAAATCAACCAAAAAAATGAGTTCGCGTGTCACCTCTGACACGCGTGTCATAGGTTCGCCATCACTGGAATAGTGGCTACTTATTAGCTGTTTTAGGATTGGATGGGCCCCTGTTTAAACATCCCAGTCTCTCTGCTCTTGATCCTGTAAATTTAAGGATCCTACTGGGTATCTCCGCCTGTTTGTACTCCAAGCACATCAAACCCACCATGTCCCAGTTTAGGTTGCTTCTCTCTTCTTTGTCACTCTTCCTTCCCCCGTGTTTCCTGTTCAGTTGCTGGCACATCTCCCACGTGAGGGCCTCTGGTCATTCTAGAGCCTTCCTTTTACTTATCACACCAACTAACTGGTTGTTAATGCCTGACGATTCTGTCTCCAAAATGCCTCTTTTTCCATTCCAGCCTCAACTCAGGCACAGTAATTTCTTAGCTCCTTTAGAACAAAACTTTTCTAACGGGCTTCCCTGTCAGCCCTTCCTTTCTGCCACTAGATCTTTCTGTGCATATAGTGAAACATGAATATAGGACTTACCTTTCTGTCAGGAGCCAGAACTTGCAACCTGACACAACTTCCTTTTTCTAGATTCTTCTCTTCTACCCATCTACTCCCTGGCACTCATCTACCCATCTACTCCCTGGCACTCATCCATATCTATCTATCTATCTATCTATCTATCTATCTATCTATCTATCTATCTATCTATCTATTTAGCTGCTGCTAAATATCTTTTGAATATACCACACATTTCCACCTAAATATTTCTGTTTTGATCCTCATCACATAAGGCTCATTTTCTGTCGACTCGCCTTCCTCCTTCCAGAAGTAAAAATCCTTTCTTCTGTGTCCTCTCTTAGCACAATTTTATTCTTTCGCTGTCACTGGATATATCCCATTATGGTTAATTGTCTATGTGAGGCTTTCTTGGGCTAAATTACGAATTTCTTAAGAGAGAGCTTTCTTTCCATCTCTTGTGAAAAAAAAAATCACTGTTCAGTGTTTGGGATTTAATATGCGTCCCATTAAAATGTGCTGAAGGAGGGATGTGTTGAAATGTATTCACATTCTCATAGGTGCAGTTATTGTACCAAATGGATGGAGAAGTAAAGATTCGAATGAAGCAAAAGAGCTCCTTTGTCATTTTTTTTCTTGAGAGCTAGAGATTTAAATTTATGACAAACATGGGAATTCCAAAAAGTCAGAGAACAGAGAATGACAGCATTACCTACAAATTACTGTTTAAATGAGACTTACCAAGGCATTGTCTCTGCCATTTGTTATCAATCTATTGGATTGATGATTTTAAAATAAGAACCACTCTCTGTCCAGGTTATCATTGAATTGATTGGGTAGCATGACTGGTTAGTATGAATTGGTTGGTAATAAGGTAATTTTACTCAATTAAATGTATGCCAAAGAATTAATGTATATCATCTCTGTCTTCTCCTTGTTAAAACTGAGGTGGAAAGAGACCTTGGAGTAAAGTGCTAGACTTAATTATAAGACACATTGTAATAAATAAAAAAAAGAAACAAGGAACAAGAAAATATTATGATCTGGAGAATTAATGAAATTTAAACTGGTTGTTGAAAAAATAGATAAGGATTGCATGAGGGAAAGGAGGAATTTCATGTGAAGGAAATAACATGGGTCAATTGACAAGAAAATTGCTGATTTGCAAGCCATATTTTAGCAAATGTCTATATTGTTAACATTTATGAATTTAAAGTTATTTTGTTCTCCTTTGTTTTCGTTCTCACAGGTGGATCCGATATTGAATACCTGGACTTCTATAAGCCTGTCGTGTGGTTTTGGATCCTCGTAGGACTTGCTTACTTTGCTGCTGTCCTGAGCATGATTGGAGACTGGCTCCGAGTGATTTCGAAAAAGACAAAGGAAGAGGTAAGAATCAAGAAGTTTTCAAAAACACTTCTATTTAGCTAATTTAATAAACGGTAACAATCTTTTTACATTTATATTTTAAAGCAGTATTTAAATATTAATTTTTAAACATTTATGTTTGGTATGAGTTTGTTTTACACAGCTATCATGTGAGTTACAATTCATTCACTTACCAAATACTAAACACTCCTATGTTCCTGATGCTATCTAGGTGCTTAGGGTAATTTGTGCTAAAAAGGATGTAATTAAAGTGTTTTTTTCATTAGTTCTTTAGTTTGTTTCATTTTTTTCTCTCAAAGTATGTATAATAGAAAATTATAAGAGAAAAGTATAATAGAAAATATTTTTGTCAAGGTATCAGTAGCATGAAAAAGTGAATGTACTGTGGAATATTGAATTTAGTCAAGTATTTCCTTTTTTATGTCTACCTAAATGTGTGGTAGTCCAGATGTATACAAACACATATATGCCCCAAAGTTGTATGTGTTATGGCCAATTTCCTTATATACTAATTTTAGCTGCTCAAAAACATACACTTTTACATATTTTAAACAATTGTATATATAGAAATGAATATCAGAATTTTGACTCATGACATTTTAGAAAATTTAAAATTTAAATCTGATTTTGAAATTACAGAGCTCTGAAATTAAATTTTGATTTAATATTTTTAGGTCCAGAAGTCCTGTTAGTTTGAATGTGATAGAATAGTATGAATTTTGTGTTTTTTTGTTCTGGTTGTTAGCCAATTTTACTAATTTTTTTCAGAGAACAAGTCTATAAAATGTGCACCCATTGTTTTTCTTTATCCCCTTCAATTCATTATCTGCTGTTCATAAGCCAAGAGACATCAGTGTCAAAATCTTTGATTGATACAAGCAATGATCTTTAAACACACACCCAAAAGAAATAGAATAAAATAGGATATGATAGAATTAATTCATCTCTACAGACAAAACAATTTTATTTAGAAATCCTCAAGTCATATGATTTCTTATAAATACTGAAGGTACCCATGGTGATTAGAAAGAGTATAAGTTATCCAGTAGTTCCCTTCATGGATACTATATTTCTCAGCTGGGCATTCACGTGTTCAGTCTGTATGCATTCATCAATATCTTAGTTGCACCATAAAACCAGTCTTTTTATTAGGAACAAATCAGCAAGACAATATTTGCTTGACGTTCTACTTTAAATCATGTGAAAAGTTCTACTTACAGTGGTCGGCAAACTGCGGCTCGCGAGCCACATGCGGCTCTTTAGCCCCTTGAGTGTGGCTCTTCCTAAGCCTGAGGAGTACCCTAATTAAGTTAATAACAATGTAACTACCTATATAGTTTAAGTTTAAAAAAAATTGGCTCTCAAAAGAAATTTCAATCGTTGTACTGTTGATATTTGGCTCTGTTGAGAGTTTGCTGACCACTGGTATAGGACATCAACTTATTTGGCTTAGCCTTAGACAAGTTCATTGTGTGTGTGTGTGTGTGTGTGTGTGTGTGTGAGAGAGAGAGAGAGAGAGAGAGAATGAATTGTGATTATTTTCACTATAATGTATTTTCAATGTACTTTGAAGGATCTTGAGATGCTAAGGAAAAAAAGAAATTGTAAATAGGAACTATTTTAGATGACATAGCCAAAAGGAGAACTTCTCAAACATCTAGCCATAAACTGGCTTTCTTTCAAATGGTTTCTTAGAAACACGCACATGCCTTTATTTTTTAAATAAAATAGAACTGTACAAAATATATCTCTTACAGTTAAGAAAAAGTAAGTTTGTGAAATATATCTTATACACATATTATAAACATTCTACATATTATATACAAACATACATTTCTACATATTATATACATATGTACATATGTACATACTAATAATATTGTGGATCACAGTTTGAAAGCCACTAAGGCACATATAGAACAGGGCTAAATTTTGTCTGCATCACATTGCCCTATTTAATTAAACATTCAGGAATATTTGATTAATGTTTTAAAAGCTGTCTGTTAAAAACCAGTGCTTTGGGGATAGGACTGATGGTGCAGCTTCTTTAGAGTAATGAGATAGCCATCTGTACTAGTGCTCCAGCTGCCATTGCAAAACACCTCAGACTGGGTGGCTTAACTGTCAGAAACGGGTTTTCTCACAATTCAGGAGGCTGGAGGTGCCAGCAGGTTTGGTGTCTGGGAGGTCTCTCTCCTCAGCTTGCAGATGGTGCCTTCTTGCTGTGTCCTCATGCGGCCTTTCCTCTGTGCACATGCGTGGGGAGAGAGTGCACGGGTGGCTTTCTTCTTCTTATAAGGACACCAGGACTGTTGGATTGGAGCTCCACACTATGACCTCATTTAACCTTAACCATGTCCTTTAAGGCCTTATCTCCAAATACAGTCCCATTGGAGCTTTGGGCTTCAACATCTGAATTTGTGGAGAATGCAATTCAGGCCATAATAGCAGTCTTTGAAATAAACTTAAATTTCTACATAAATTGGTTTATTTCACATGAAAAACAAGTTTGTGTGCCTGCTTATGAGTGATCTTCATGAGTCGCAACCAAAAGTGTGAGATGTATCATTGTGTTTTCATGCTGTTAAACACTGAAAAGTAGTATTTTTTCCTTTTGGCTTCTACCTCGCCTTGTGAGTAACATCCTTTCTGGTGGCTGCATCTGTAGGAAGTTCATGGGAGTGAAGGCCATGAACAAGTTCATGTGAATACTCTGGAGCTGCAGCTGCACCAGACAGTTGAGCCAGTTGAAATGGGACTGTCAATTCAAGCAGATGTGTGTTTTCTAATGTAAAATGCTGTTTAGGGAAGTGACAAAATCAGGTCACAAATTTAACAGAAAATGTAAAGAAAGGGAGGGAATGACAATTTATAATTTATCTATAGATCATCAGGACCAAAGTTTTATAAATGAAATACTACTAGAATTTCTACAACTCTTGAAATAAGATTATTAGATCATTTCCATTTTGAAATAACTCACTAAAGGGCATAATTAAATAAAAACCAACTAAATGCATCCTGGTTGTCATCTTTACATAGATGAACCATGCCACATGACCGTTCAGTCTGTATTTCTTACCTTCTAACCTAAATCGTTCCAGATACCCCAATTTTTAAATACTCCCTACATGTTTAGAAGCAACAAGGTTATTTCTAGTTTTTAATTTTGATGAATGAAAATGCCAAATCGTTTTGATAACTTGGAATCCTCCCTATTAAAAAATGTAACTAGTACAAAACATAAGAAAATGCAAAGTAATATATTCTAGTAGCATTAAATCTCCAGTTGAAAATGCTAAGACACATGCTTTCCTTGAATGAAAAGATTTTGACAAATAATAAATTCCAATCTTACATAATTTAAAAAAAAACCCCACAAATAATCTTGTAACATAATCTGGTTAGGTTATAGTTTAAAAACAAATATGATATATTGCTTAAGTATAAACATAGCACCAATCATATGTGCTCTTATTTCTGTTTTTATGTTAAAATATATTGTTTCCAATGAAGACTAATTTTAATGAAAATATTATGTTTAGAAATAAGGAGAAATAGCTTCTGATGAACATGCTGAAATAAAACATGTTGGTGTGGCTAACCCGTCTGACATAGTTGGAGAGGAGATAATCAGTTGGAACGATACTGCAAGGCTTTAGAAGTGTCACATATAATTACAATTGATGTGCATTCCTCAAGGAAAATAGTAATGACCTCAATATTTTTTTCCATGGAGACAAACGACTTTCTGTAAAGTGTTTGTTTCATTATTTTTAAATCTCTAATGGAAAGTAGGTCCATGTGTAACAATAAGAATTGATATGACTACCTTTTTCTAAAACCATGTACCCTCTTTTGAGGAACTGATGTTTCCATTTAGAAAATAAAGATTATTTAGGTATTCTGGATAATACAGTGATACTAATATCTGACGCAGGAGAAATAAAAATAAGACGTGGTCACAAAATTCAGAAGGTAAATTCCTAAGCAAGCAGGGAATAGGCATCCTTATTATGCAAAAATATAGTTCATTTTGCTACCATTTACATTCCTCACGTGGGAAAGGCCTGGATTTTTGTACAGTTCTTGTATTGATGTACATATACCACAGTGTTTGCAATGTTCCTGTCCATTTGTGAGACAAACACTACCACAGCCCCTATCACAACATGCTGGTGTCCTGGCCCTACAGCTGGCCATAGTGGGTAGATAGCCAAGCATCGCTGCTTTTTTTATTTCAGAGAGGAAGGGAGAGGGAGAGAGAGAAATGTCAACGATGACAGAGAATCATTGATCGGCTGCCTCCTGCACACCCACACTGAGGATTGAGCCCGCAACTGGGCATGTGTCCTAACTGGGAATTGAACCATGGTTCATAGGTTGACGCTCAACCACTGAGCCACGCCAGCCGAGCCAAGCATCAATTGTCAACCAGTTGTCTGGAGGTGTTCATGCACATGGGGATGCTCACTTTAGGACGTTGACCTTATCTCAGTCATATTAGGAAACCTCCCTTTGCTTGTGAAGCACTAGTGCCAAGAAGCCTTGAAGAACTGATATTTGGCCCCTGCACTATGAAGGAGCCTGAGCATATGGAGGGATATAGTTTTCTTCCGCTGGTTACCTGGCCAGAGAGCATTTGGTCTTCTCTGGAAGTCACTCCCTTCAGTGACGAAGCTAGGATTTGGTGGCTATCGTGTCTGGAGATGGGCAATTAAAGAGCGGTTGTGGCCTGGGCACTGGGAAGGTTGTTGTGCATCACTTTATCATTATTTCTTATGGGAGAAGTGTTTTTAATATGAAAGGCTTTAGATGTCATTTGAAACAATACTATTCTGAAAACCCTAGGGAGTCATGGAAGGACTTTAAGTGAGAGGAATGAATGACCTTGTCAACAGTGAGGAGGATGGCTTAGAAACAAAGCGGATGCAGGAAATCAGCTGGGAGATGATTGCATGGAATAAAGATCTGTTGCCTGATCACACAGGCGCAGAGAT